ATATAGTGCTAACAAATTAGGTACAGATATTTTTGCAGCTGATAAAACTCTGCTCTCGGTGAGTATGACATAAGGTTTAATTATGTTTTTTTTGGGGGAAAATTGAGAACAATTTGTATATTATATTTAATTAGAGTAACCGATCGGTTCACGTCGACATCGATGTTAATGTAATGCAATTTGTATGGACACGATGACGTTTAAGACATATAATTGTTGATACGCATTTTATTGATGTTGTCCATAAAATGCACAGAATTATTTACATATAGATAAATTTTTCGTTATTTTTTTTTATTATTCGATTTTATTTAGAAACTAATGATAATAATTTTTTATTTAAAGTTAATTATATAATTTAAAGTGTCATATCTTAAAATATCAGTAGCTAATTTGTTATTAATTTAGACACTACGTGTATTAAAGAAATTCACTATCTACATCAGCTCAGATGAGAGGTATACAGTTCTCAGAGTACCAGGGACAAAGTGGCTTTTTAAAGCATTTTCTCTTTAAGAACACCCTGAACTCATAAATTTACGGCCGGTTACTGAATTGAGAAAATTACAAAACCTTAACTGATTATTCTCAATATTTTAAGTGTTTTACTTTTCACACGGCACAAAGTGCTAGTTTTTATCAAACTGCTATCAGCTGATCAAAAAAACTAAAATCAAAAACGAAAACCTGTTTTGGTGACATTTAAATACCCAATTCAGAAACAGAGTGTAAATATTTTAGAAACACAAGTCTTACCTATAGTAAGATCTTTGAGAATCATGTAAAAAGTTACAAGCGCTGACACGTACATATATTACAGTCAAACGGAGGTAAAAGTCACAACAACATTAGTATTTGATACTACTTACATTATAAAAGCAGCCGTTAAATAATTTCCACTGCCATTTTTAATATTATTCCTAGGTCTGTCCACTCTATATTTTACTCGCACAGAAGTTTGATATAATAATAACAGAGAGATCTTACAAGTCTCTCGCTCTAGGCGAATAGTTTTGTATACAACAGAGAGACGCCCTGTATAGTGAGGTCGGTGCGCGTTCAGTAGAGGAGTTTGAGACGTTCGTAGGTGAGGAAGAAGATAATGTTCCAGGGCCCCATGCGCAGCCACGCGGGCACCAGCCCCTTGTACAGCGCGAGCAACCCCTCGTTGCGGACCGTCTGGCCACAAGCGCACATCATATAGCGCATATTATATGTATAATCCCCGCAAATTGCTAATGCGCCTGGCCGCCATCTTGGTGACGTAATTGCGTTCAATAATAAGTACCGTTGACAAATAAACTTTGGTTGACGATTACGTTTATTGAGTTTGGTTGTGTTGAGATCTAACACAATTTTTCTTATGTTTTTGTTGTTTTCGATTGGTATTGTTGACCAAAAAAGCAAGTGCTGTTATCATTTCCACAATAATAAACCAGATGTCATTAAAAATAAATATCTACTGTCTCTCAATTCAAAATTATTTTTGGCCATGTTTAAAAAAAACATCCATTTTTCCAATATTTTCTTTTAATATATTTTTTTAATAATATATCTCTTGCATTTTGTGCTATCGATACTTTATATTTTCAAATGATGTCGCACGGATGTTATTTAGACAAGGTTCCAGCGCATTAGCAATTAGCGGGACTATACCGACCAATATAATACGTTACGGATTGATTATGTATTAAGGTTAAGGTTTTAGTCTATTCGAGCACAATTTTGGAAAACAACAGATTAAACTATGACTAGCTATGCAACCGAGGCTTCATTCGCGTGCCATATTTTTCATATACAGGATAAAGAATCATGTCCAATTTCGACCTAAATATTTATTAACGCGTCTAGTGATGTAGTTTATATATCTCAAAATGTAGATTAATTTTTACTTATGTCATTATTAAATCTTAAAATGAAGTCAGGATAAAAATTGCGATGCTGATAACTATTTTCAAAAAGTTATCCCAATGCGATTCGGACCGTACGGTTTGCTACGTTTCGTTACAACTGCTACAGTTTTTTTTATTATCCTCTATCGATAAGGTTAAAAGTTATCATTACAATAACATAATAATTTATTTTACCATTTACGAGTCAAACTAAAGAAAACGTTTATTTTAATGCATGAATTTTTAAAGTAGCTACACAATTATTAATCGAATATTGACAGTTGGTATAACCTCAAAACCAACATTTTACAAATTACGAATCTCCTTGGCCTCCAGATGAAGAGATGCTTATACCTATATTATTTTGTTATAACCAAAAACTAATTTGAATGGTCACCAATTGTAGATAGACACGACGTTTAAAAAAAACATGTGACAGGTCAATCTATGCATGGAAAGTGGACATGATTCTTTGCACCAACGCTCTTTTTCCCAACGATTTAATTTCGTTAAAAAACATATTGATGGTTACCTAGAAGATGACACTTTTAAGCCATTTGTAGTTTTAATTTAACTTTGTGTTTTATCACAATAATTTTATGTAGCTCGGTGGCGTAATGGATAATCGTTAAGCACCTTTCGCAAAGGTCAGTCACGGGATCGGTGAGCAAAAATGATTATCTCGAGCTACTCCGTGCTTCGGAAGGCACGTTAAGTCGTTAGTGCCGGCTGCATTTGCAGGACGTTAATACCCGCCAATCCGCATTGGCCCATGCTCTTTAAACTATCCATAAAGAAGGCCTGAGCCCCTGCAGTGGGGACGTAATAAAGTAATAAATGATGATTAAATTTTATACCGATCTACAAACTTACGTACTTTTTTTTATAACGTGAATTTCATATTCAAACATCGATCATTTAAATATATTAACATTTTCATTTTCAAATTGATAGCAGTAAACAAAGTGTAGGTGTAGCGACAAGAATAGGTCTATAACCTCCGGGTACGTTAGGGATTCATATCGCCCATGAAGAGTCAATAAAATAACTGATATTTTGTCAATTTTTGTTTTATTGTATTATTTTATTTATTATTCGTTGTAAAATAGATTACTACACAATAGTGACAAAGATTTTGGGTTCGTCTCTTATGTTTTTGTAAAATAAACAATAATTGCAATGTACTGAAAAAAACAATATAATAGATTTGAAACGTTTCTTTCGTCTCCTGAAAAGTTGCATTTTTGCAGTTATTATTTATTGACTCTTCATAGACGATATGTAGTTTACAGTAACGTTTATCCGGCTCAATCTCCGATGTTATTAAGTTATAAAAGAAAAAAAAAGAACATGAGTCACAGTAACGTTGTCTGTTTATATAAATTATTATGCGAGCCAATTAAGAAAAAAAGAATCGGTCCATCTGCCAACTTCATGGCATAGCTGTCATTTATGTACTGACAGCAAAGAAAATAGAGTTTACTAACCATTTTTGTTATTCATTTTACTTTATACTATTCAATTATTGGATTTATTATTAGTATATTTAACATGACTTTATAAAAAATTAACAAAATCTATTTTGTAAATTGATCTCTTTTTGTATTCTCTATTAATAAATAGAAAGTTGACGATTTTTGTTGCAACGTTAACGCTGACCACCATAAAAGCGTTTTATGACTTCGGATCCAATAAAATATATCGATGTACTCTAATCCGTTATGTCCTACTACGATGATGCGTTGATTAATAAAAATAATTTTTTTTGCACACCTTACACCCTGAAGTGTAAGGTGATAGATAATATAGTTTCTTTAATTCCACGGGACCAACAAATATTATTTAAAAAATTAACATACCTGAAGAAAACAATCGGTGATGCCTTTGTATATTCGTTCGTTGGAGTTCGCGATGTGATCCTTTAATTTTCTTTGGTTCATAAGTCTCGTCTGAAAATCAAGAAACATATTTTTTTATTAGTTTGATTGAACTATGCCATACGTGCGACCAAATCTCGGCTAGTGCAGATAAAATGGAAATTGAATTTCAATTATTAAAAAAAAAAACAATAATTGCAAATAAATGAAAATGTAAAATAAATGAAAAATCAATCGGGGCGAGGCCTTTCTTTATTTTCTTTAATAAATTTAATATTTTATTTTAAAGTTTTTGAAATTGACACGGAGCCCTTTTATTCTACTATATTACAAAGTATTTTTTTATATCGTCCGACCGCCTTTGTGGCGTAGTGGATAAGCGCCGCGGCCCGCGATCGTTGTCGTTAAGCAACTTTCGCAAGGGTCGGTCAAAAATAATTATTTCGAGGTACTCGGTGCTTCGGAAGGCACGTCAAGCCGTCGGTCCCGGCTGCATTTGCAGGACGTTAATACTCTCCAATCCGCATTGGGCCAGCTAGGAGGTCTCGGCTCATCTTCCTTAACCATCCATAAGGAAAACCTGAGCCCTGCAAGGGGAACGTAAAAGGGCTGATGATGACCGCCTTTGAGAAACCGATTATACGGAGTCCCACGCTGTATTAAAATTTCAAAATGATCAGATCCGGCAGTTTTAAGGTCACAGCACACATATCAAATCGGAAAGGGATCGTCACCGTATAGCCTTTCGCCTCGCCGTCAACCAGGCGTCAACCTAACGTATGCATGTAACCAAAGCGTAGCAGCGGCTCCTGTACGTCAACTCGGCTATGGCTAGGCGACACCGCGCTTACGGCTCGCCGACCGCTGGATGACCTGGTTGGCACCAAATCAGTTTGAATCCAAACGTTGAGTGTTGCGCACAGTTATGTCTCGGTTTACAATACGTGAGATGGCTATCATAGCCATAGCACTTGATGAAGAGGAAAAAGAAAATAAACGAAGAAAAAGATATTGGGTACACGATATGAATAAAGCAAGGAGTACTGAAGCCGTGAGCTCAGTTACGGAGAGACGTAAGCGCGGGAACGACGAGCCGTAAGCACGGGAACTGCTAGCTAACCACGCACCGCATCGCGGTTCGGAGCCTATTCCGAGGCGAGGCGATTACGTTAAGATTCCAATTAGTGTGCGTTGCAGTAGGGAGTTTCATACAAACAATACTGAACGGCTCGAGGCGAAACGGTGGCGATCCCTTTCCGATTTGATATGTGTGCTGTGACCTTTAACGGACGAACAGACAGCAGAGTGATTTTGGAAGGGTTGCGTTCTTTCCGGAACGCGTGTTCCGGCTGGCAGGACGGAACGGGGACGATAAACTATAGACGAGGGGGACATTATATATTCGTAATCGACCCCCCAGCAAGGATCGGAGATCGGGTCTCACCCTCAGCACGTCGAGCGGCGTGCTGGCGACGGCGCTGCCGAGGCCGGCGGCCAGGCTGGCCAGGAAGTGCGCGGCGGGCGCGTCGCCCAGCGCGGGCGCCAGGCGGCGCTTGCACGCGTCGTAGGCGGGCAGCTCCACCGCCGCGATCAGCGCCGCGCGCTGCGCCGTGGCCGCGCCGCCGCGCCACAGCGCGCGCCAGCCCTCCCCGCGCTGGATGCCCACCAGGCACGCCACCACGCCGCGCTTCTCGTGCCCCATCCGTTGGAGATAAAGGCGGACGCTGACTTTTGCATTTTTTGTTTTTATGTTCACAGATCGATGTCAAAAAATAACTTTTCTACATTGTTGCGGGCCTAGATATTGTGGTACCTTCGTCGTTTCAGATTTTCAAAAAACGGGAGCTTCATCTATTCGACCGATTAAATAATAATATTCGTTTATATTATTCGATCCAGAGGAAAGACCTGCGCTCGCTCACCTGCATCCGTACTTTGAGGACGTCGGTAGGGTTGGCGATAGCGCTAGACAGCCCGCCGGCGAACGCGGCGCAGAATGTGTTAGTGGGTAGGTGTTCTATAGAGCCGCCGTCCGCTCGCCGCGCCGCGATAGCCTTTTTCATGGAGTAGTACGTGCCGAATTTGATTGTACCGTATGTCGCCTGTCGAAGCACCGCCGGCCATATTCTACGACAAATTTTAAAAGAAAACTTCGATTAATCGATTCTTAAAAATACGTCCGGCTCGAAGGACCGAGGTCAAATTTTATAAGTTTCTAACACGCCATTTTAAAAGTGTGTAAACCGCCGCCTAGCTCGCTATCGGCTAGTGAATCGGATAAACGAGGAATGCCTGTATATTACTTCAGACGTTCGAGACATAGAAAACGCTTGAAACTGACTAGATCTAGTTTACTATGCAGAATCTAACTAGAACATATAATTTGTTATGGCCAAATTGGTATTCCTATCTATAAATGATTCAATAATAGATATACTTGAGTCTTTTGTGTGTGTGGTAAATGTCGCCTGTTTACCAGAAAGAATGCTGTTTAGCACAAGATAAGTGCTCTTAGTACAGATTAAAATTAGCACGGTGTTTAATACAAATGTAGAGGTATCTGTACAGATGGCAGTGGAGTTAACAAAAAACTGCCTTATTCAAATGATGTCAGTGATATTAACTTATCATCATAACACTTATTTCAATACTGTCATTCTTCATTATTTTTGTTAATTTCTTTTTCTTGTGTAATTAATTAGTTAAATGTATGTTATAGAAATTCCCTTTTTCACACACACCAAGTCTAAATAAATAAATAACATTAATCCTTGAAATTTGTAAGTCATTATCCGTAATATATTTGTAAATCATATAAAATGCACTTTATCAATTTTAATTATGAAAATAAAACGATGTTTACATGGTAATGAGCGCCATCTATCCTGTGTTATGGAATGTTTGTTCTGGGATGTCTCTCTTGAATACCTCAAATACATTATTATTATGTTTAAGTTGTGAGCTATCAATAGCATCTCCTACGTGAATGTTTTTTTTTTATCAGTCCAGTTGTTCTGTAGCCTATTTGATGCGTACAAAAAAACGGAAAAAGGTTTTCTTTTTATAATATTACTATACAAGAGTAGCAAATATTTCATGAAAAATACAAGAAAAAAAATTAAACTAGATTGATAATTAAATCCAAGTACTAATCTTGAGATAACAAACAACATTGAGAGTGTAATGACGCAATCTTATCAATTTGGGATTTGGCCCCCGCCTGCCAGATATAAATTAACTGATAATGTGCTCTTGCAAACTTCTCCGGCGTCACAAACATTGTAAACTATTTACGTACACAACTGTGATGGAACAACATTAAATGAAGTATCTTGCATCAGATTCGACCCTGTATTTTTCTATAAAATTAAAATTTTCTTTATTACTCGTAAAATTATCTTATTAAAAGAATTATGGAATCAAAAAATTTAATCTCATAACAGCTACTAGAATATAAACCACTTTTTATGGGAGACCAATATTTATAATAACTTCAACAGAGTGACACTGCTTTTACAGATGTTTTAGTTGCTGTATTATAGCATTTCTAAATACCACTGCTTGTGGACACAATAAGATACTGTGACTGATCAAGTGTAAATCTTTTCAAACCATAGAAAAATATTTATAAATCTATTGCATCAAAAGCATAAGACATTAAACGTTAATCAACTCACCCACAGTAGAGCGCTTTGATCCCTTCTTGCTTGGATGTCTTCACAATACAGTCCACCATGCCCGTATACCGCAGGGTCACATGTTGAGGATCTATTTTCTGACCCTGTATTTGAAGACGCGTTTTGGTGGTGTCAATAGGGAATGTACCTAGAAATAATAAGACTTGTTGTTATACAACATGAAATATTCACATTAAACTAAGGTCAAAATAATTGTATATTATGAAAAATTCTTCTTCTTTTATATATCAATTTTATCATACTCTAATTCTTAACTAGAGTTAAATGTTAATAGGAACACACTTTAACTTTTGATATAAAATGAAAAATGAAATGAAAAGTATTACGCTCATTACAAGCACTTTTGAATCGTCCAAAATTTTTTTTTGTCCTACCACTTGTTCAGGACGTCTTTTAGCTGACGTGTAGAAAAACCGAGAAAAATTTACCAGCTCTTTATCATAAGTAATGACATACATAAACCATGTCATTACCAAAATAATATGTATTATCACAAAAAATACAACATTCAAAGTCTGTAGGTCATAAGTTGTACATATAATTAGTCGTTATAGAATAAAGCGAAGGCTATTAATACTATTGCATTGCATAAATAGCCTTTACTCATAAACACGAAATATACCGAGGCGCATATACTATTTATACATAAGTACTCATATACTATTTAAATTATGCGCCTCGGTATATTTCGTGTTTACGAATTTAATTGATCAAGAAACCAATGTGTGATCGTCGTTTTAGCCGCCAAAACTCGTCAGTACCTCGACTGTGGTGGAAATGACAGCACGCATTATTTCAGTGCATTGCTATCCTTAAAATAATCATCAACCTTATAAATAGCCTTTACTCATAAACACGAAATATACCGAGACGCATAATTTATACTATTTAAATTATGCGCCTCGGTATATTTCGTGTTTACGAATTTAATTGATCAAAAAACCAATGTGTGATCGTCGTTTTAGCCGTCAAAACTCATCAGTACCTCGACTGTGATGGAAATGACAGCACGCATTATTTCAGTATTAAGAATTGTATAGAGCTGTAATACGCCAAATTACTTTATTTGAATATAGGTACTTAATTTAAAATGTAATTGACCTACCCATAAATAAATTTCAAATTCATGTAAAGAATATACTTATGAGGAAAAGCTATTATAAAGTTGATGATTATTTTAAGGATCGCAATGCATGGAATTAATAGCCTTCGCTTTGTTCTATAAAGACTAATTATATGTTCAACCTATGTCCTACAGACTTTGGAAGTTGTATTTATTATTGTGATAATACATATTATTTTGGTAATGACATGATTTATGTAAATGTCATTACTTATGACAAAAAGCTGGTAAGTTTCTTTCGCTTGTTCTTCTTGTCAGCTAAAAGACGTCCTGAACAAGTGAAAGGGGAAAAAAATTTTTTTGGACGATTCAAAAGTGCTTAAGCGGTCAGTCCCGTGAAATAATATACAACGTGTACCTGTACTTTTTAACAGAAGCTAATGTTTTTAAAAAGTCTGAAAATGAATATTTTAATAAATTTCAAGACCGCGTGGTCAAAGCCACTGGCATATCCAGACGATTTCTGCAAAATTTAATAAGGGACAAAGAAAATAATGGTAGATCTGCATTTAACACACCTAAGAAAGGAAGGCCAAAGAAGAATTTCAGGTTAAAACTGAACAGTTTTGATTACAGTGTGATTAGAAACATGGTATACGACTTTCATTTAAAATTTAAGGAAGTTCCTACTGTTAAGTCTTCAAAAATTAAACTAATGGACGCTACTGGTTTCCAAGGATGTGCAGATACATTAAGAAAAATTCTTAAAGATATGGGGTTTAGATTTATGAAGACAGAAAATAACAGAAGTCTCCTTGCAGAAAAATCTGCTGTACGCCAAAAAAGAATTGAATATATTAAGAAAATACAGGCTTTAAGAGCTGACGGAAAAAATTTTGTATACATGGATGAATCATTTGTCCATAATTCTCACACAAAAAGCAAGTCTTGGCTTAATAAAAATAAAAAAGGGGTTAAAGAACCGATTTCCAAAGGTGAACGCATTATTATCAAACATGCAGGTAATGAGAAAGGTTTTGTACCTGGTGCATTACTACTAGGTTAATGTTTGGATTCTGATGGAGATTATCATCAAGCAATAAACGCAGACACATATCAAACTTGGCTCCGCAATCGACTGATTCCCAATTTACTTCCAAACAGTGTGCTAATAATCGACAATGCACCATACCATAACCAGTTATTGGTTAAGTCGCATAATTCTAATATACATATATATACACATTCTAATATATATAACGGCGGGTAGTCCGAAGGGGCTATTACGAAGCCCAAATAGATCGTCCATATCGGAGGACTATCTTTAAAATAACACTGCAGGCGTGGTATACCAACGTGGTTTTGTTCCATTTATCACTTTTCATACGAAAATATAACGAGATGAGCGTGATGTCATCAGATGTCTTTACTCCTCGGCGATCGGAAACAGAATGTGTGCCAAAATGGCGGCAACTTGGTTTTTATAAACGAACTGTCAAAGTCAGTGTCACCATTCTAATAAAATTAAAAGTATCGATGATCACGCTCTCTTTACAATCGAGTAATTAAGTAATCGAGTAACTAGCAATTAAAATAAAAGAAACTAAATCAAACGATCTTCGTAATGATGATGCGACATATACATATTCTAATAAACATACATTAACAAAGCCTGAGTTATTTAAAATTATATTGACTCATAAAGAAAGTTTGACTGTATTTACCATTGACAAAATTTTACAAGAGCATGGACATTCAGTTTTACGATTACCACCATATCATCCTGATTTTAATCCCATCGAGAATGTTTGGTCCCAAATAAAGGGGCACGTAGCGAAAAAAAATGTTGCCATGAATGTGAGCTCGGTAAAAGAACTTATGTTAGAAAAAGTTAACATGATAGGACCCGACGAATGAAAGAAAGTATGTGATCATGCTATCAAGTGTAAGGATGAGTACCGGAAATTTGATCCTGTGTTTGATAACCATTCGGATAGATTCATTTTAAATATTAGTTCCCGCAGCGACAGTAATGATTTTGAGTCTGAAATGTCGGGTATAGAAGTCATATCAAATTGTGATTATTTGATAAATTTATATTAACTGAAGAACTTTGTTTTATTAAAAAAACTTTTCTACTTACTGGTGTCAGAAACTTATTTAGTTAGTACTAGTAATCTAAGATTAAGATTTTCTTTAATCTGGGGTTTTCATTTTGGTATCAGCTGATGGCAAGAAACACAGTATACTTTTATTTTTAAATTGGCTGACCTAATCTAAATTTAAGCGAAATGATTAATTATGTAAAAACAACTCTATATCATCATCATCATCATCAGCCCTTTTATGTCCCCACTGCAGGGGCTCAGGCCTTCCTTATGGATGGTTAAGGAGGATGGGCCATGACCCTCCACGCTGGCCCAATGCGGATTGGAGTGTATTAACGACTTCAAATGCAGCCGGGACCAACGGCTTAACGTGCCTTCCGAAGCACGGAGTAGCTCGAGATAATAATTTTTTGGTCACCCATCCCGTGACCGACCCCTGCGAAAGTTGCTTAACGACAACGATCGCGGGCCGCGGCGCTTAACCACTACGCCACCGAGCTACTCTATATAGATACCTTTAAAATACATTAGGAATGCCGAAGCTTGAAGAATATAGCCGAAGCGCATAATTTAAATAGTATATGTTGTATGTTCTTTTATAGGTAGATCAATTACGTTTTGTGGAACTTTATTGAACATAGCAATACATTTACCCAGAAATGATCCTTTGGTTTTCTGAAGTCTGAAGCTAGAAGTTTATTTTTATTTCTTGTGTTAAGATTATGAACACTACATTTTTTTGTGAAGGAATCGTAATTTTCATAGATGTATTGAGAGGCAACAGTCAAAATATTTATTTCTTTAAATATTTCTCTGACAGATTCTCTAGACCGTAAATTATATATAGCGCGGACAGCTCTCTTTTGTAGAATAAAAATATCGTGAATGACAGCCGCAGAACCCCACAACAATAAACCACACGTCATTACACTATGAAAATAACTAAAATATACCAATCTTGCCGTTTCAACATTTGTGAAGAGTCTAATTTTCTTAACAGCAAATGCTGCAGAACTCAATCTACTTGACAAATTATCAATATGAGGATCCCATTGCAGTCGGGAATCTAGTGTAATACCAAGGAACTTTGTTGATTCCACCAACTCAACTTTTTCACAATTTACATTTATAAGTGTACTAACATGCCTCACATTAGGTAATGCAAACTTTATACATTTCGTTTTATTTAAATTAACCTTTAAATTATTATTATCAAACCACTATAGAACATTAACGAGAGCAACATTTACATCGTCAAAACAATCATTAACCCACTTAACTTTAAACACTAATGGTGGTGGAGGTGTCATAAGCAAATAATATTGCCTCACACAAATTCTTCGTAAAGTGAGAAAGATCATTAATGTAAATAAGAAAAAGCAATGGTCCTAATACCGATCCCTGAGGTACGCCCATAGTAATGGGTTGCCTTAGCAGATTTCGCTTCATAAATTAGTACTTTTTGAATTCTAGCAGAAAGATATGATTTTATTACATTAAGTGAATTCTTTGTCACACCATTATGCTCTAATTTCCCCAACAGTGTTTCATGACTAACGCAGTCGAATGCTTTTGACAAATCGCAAAAAATGCCGATAGCATCTTGTTTATTCTCCCAAGCATCATAGATATATCTCAGAAATGCAATTCTGTGGTACATTTATTTACCTCTGCTAAAACTGAACTGATTTTTGTGAAGTAATTTATTTAACAAAAATTGTGCAAGCAGTTGATTATAAATAATTTTCTCAAACACTTTACTTAGCGCTGTTAGTATAGATATTAGTCTGAAATTACTGGGATCAAACTGGTCTCCTGCGTAAATAAAGAAATCTATTGAATAAAATCAACATCAGACTTGGTCACAGATGGTTCTGTATCTGAAATGAAAAAAAAATATATGTTTGTTGTATGGGAACAAAGTCTTAGTAATAGGGTCCCATTTTACTCTTAGGGTATGACCCAATTTTTCCAATTTCTTAAAGAAAGACTATTTAAAGAAAGAACATATAAATGAAAATATTGTGAACATTTTTTGAACTGAACTTGTATGTTTAAATTGTTGTGTGACTAACTTTTCATATGTTTTTCATTAATATGCTAGAAAAAATTATAAAAAATAAGTTTGATATATATTTTTGGAGAAAATATATGTAATGCATATGCAAATATATGTATTTATGTAACACATTAGAAATGCAAATAAAAGGTTAGAAAAGTGTAAATGAAAAACTATAAAAATAAGCTTGTATTTGTTATAAAATAAAAAGTTTTTAATCGTTTTACTTATATTAATATAAAATAATAGAAAAGACTTTCTAGTAACATTGTCGAAGGTTGCATTTCTTTGGTTTTAAGCAAGCAGTGTTGCTAAATCTTTATTCTTTAAAGTAAAGTATGTCTTAATAAAATATGGTCATTAGTTTAATGTTATTTAATTTAATTCAGAAATGCTACTGCATTCTTATGAATGTGTGTTTTATTGAAGAAAAGGAGAATGTTTAATTTTAATTTACCATGAGAGTGCGGCTATTTTTGCGTTACTGAAGAATGAAGAACAATAGCAAATTATTTATATAATATGTAGGAAAAATTGCCAAATCAAAATAGTGTGGAAGATTGAGAATATCTGAGTTTTTAACAGGGATTTTGAGGTATGTCGTTATAATATATAGAATAGAGCAATAAAATTATTCATAAATAATTAATAAAATCACATAATTTTTAAATTGTATTTATATAGAATAAATTATAATCAAAGAGAAGCTTTTGTGCAATTTTAGCCTAATTCTGCTCATTCTCCTTTCATTTATTAAAGTTACTATTGGTCGTCTTCATAGTCATTTCATCTAAACCTAAAGCTTATTCAAAAGTTAAATTATACTAAATGTATTTCACTGATTATTGGAATGCAATTGGTTGATAACACTCATACTTTACTGTTCACTTCGCAATGTTGGTGACACTCAACATACGAGGGCGGGATGATAAAAAGCTAGCCCAACCCATATTTTGTATAATAATGATATAAAATCTCCTTAGTATTTTACTCATTGGTTCATTAGCTGCCAGTATTCTAAATTTCAAATCGATCATATAGTTTTTCTTTTAAATATTGACATTTCAAAAAGCATTGTTTTGTTTGTTCTGCAAAATGGATAAAATTGAGCTATGAGCTGTGATAAAGTTTTTGCATTGAAAAGGATTCAAAAGTGGAGAGATTTTTTCGGAGATGAAGCATGTTTTAGGAGAAAATGCTCCTTCATATGCGACCATAAAAAATTGGGTGGCTGAATTTAAACGTAGCCGTACAAGCATCCATAGGCATCTCTAAAGAACGGGCGCATTACATTTTGACTCAAGAATTATGTATGAAAAAATTATCCACAAGGTGGGTGCCGCGATTGCTTACAGTTGACCAAAAACGCATTCCACAAGAATCTTTGGACCTCTTTAAGAGCAATAAAACTGATTTTCTGCAACGGTTTGTTACTACAGACGAGACTTGGGTTCACCACTATATACCTGGATCAAAAATTCAGTCTAAACAATGGACGGAAAAAGGATCCCTGGCTCCAAAGCAAGCAAAAGTCGTAAAAGCAGTGGGGAAAATCATGGCATCAGTATTTTGGGATTCGAAGGGTATATTGATGATTGATTACCTTCCAAAAGGACAAAACATAAATGGCAAATATTATGCTGATCTACTGGATAAATTACAAGTGTCTATTTGTGAAAAAAGACCCAATCTGGCTAAAAAAAAATTATCTTTCATCAGGATAATGCGCCCGTTCACACATGCCTCACTGCGGTGGTGAAATTCAAAGAATTAAATTATGATTTGCTACCACACCCAGCTTATTCTCCTGATCTGGCACCATCTGACTTTCATCTATTCCCTAAGCTCAAAAAATTTTTAGGTGGACAAAGATTAGAAAATAATGGTGAGGTGATGTCTGCCATGGACAGTGACTTGATGATTGATTATTTTAAAAAGATACTTGATCTATTTGGTGTGATATTTTGGAAATTAATGCTGGATAAAATGTATAACTGAGAAAAATAAACATTTATAGAATGTTGTTCAAGAACAACACTGCAAATAAAGAGGTTAACAACTTTAAAAAATATATAATTTTGTATCTGATTTCAAAAGAGATAATAAAGTCTAAGAACTTGAAAAAAATTAATAATTTATTTGAGAATTCTTAAAAGGTATTTTTGTTATTGTTTTGTAAGGTAACAAAATTTGGTATGCACTATATGTGTGTAACTGGTACTACTTTCATAAATAAAGTGTGAAAGTAGAGCATTTTTGTGTCCTCTTAGTTTTATAACAGGTACGCAGGTACATATTATTGTACAATACTCTTTTGTAGAGTTTGGTTGGTAAACCTAACTGAGAGACTTCAGTTCTGATACATTTGATTAGGTTATAAAATTTCACTTACAAAAAGATGAACTTACCAAATTCCGCAACGATAGACGCCAGTCCACCGTAAATAAACGGCCTCCAATCCCAGTCTCCCATGACAAACAATGGAAAGATTGAAATGTGAAATTAAAACTGCATTAATACCGAAAGAAACTTCAGCCGGTGGGTAAAATGACTTTCACAACAATATTCAATGAATAGCAATGACAAACGTACTAAGTCCAGTTACATAAATCCATTTTAATATATTCGGACCATGAAAATTAAAGACCGGTTATTTTTCTTGAAATTTCAGCTTAATTTAATATTTCACACACTACCAACACCTTAAAGTAGGTAAGTACTCTTTGACTTAGTAGGTTATCAGACGACCAACTTCCTAACAAAAAATTTCTTCGTAGAACGTGATTGGGAGCCAGTGATACATGACAGATTCATTCGTTTTAAATATATAGATCTACTATCGGCAAAGGCATTTAGCTATACAGCCCTGTTTTGGGTAGGTACCTAGCCGTCTTCCTAGTTTCCACATTATTTTTACTTTAATTTAAATTCCTTTTTTGTTTTAATACAACAATAACAATAAAGCAGACTGATAAGTCTAGCTTATTATTATTGTTGTATTAAAACAAAAAAGGAAAAACGAACACGTAAATGAAACACACATTTTTCCAATATTATTTATTGAATAATTTATTTTTTAACTTATTATATTTTTCACAGCTTTCTTCTGCATTCTCGGCAATTCTTAGCTACGTTTTTTTAGTGGCACAACCTTATGAAACTTTTCAAGGTAATCACATTTTTTTTAAAGAGGGCACTGATATTTGCATACCTTTTTATACACATATTTAAGTTTTTCTAAAATTTCAATTGCCTTTGGCCAGAAAGAATGATGCTCTTTTCCTTTATGCTTTTTTTGTTTATCGATGCTCCATTGACACTATCAAATAATTGGTCAAAGAATGAAACAACTTCAGCTGTATTTCTTAATGTTGTGCTGACGGGCCTGCCATCCACATAAGTTGCTGCAAATTAAAATATTCATACAATAATTGTATGAAACTTGATTCAAAACTATTAACTGTTAGTAAATTTCATCTAATACTCACAGAAATTTGCAGTGTAAGACAAAGCTGCAGACATATTTTTACACAATTTTTTACCTGCAAAAAGAGATATCATATTTAAAATTATCTTCATTAGAGAATCATTATTGTAATTTAAGTGTAAACTATATTAACTACTTGTTACATAATTAAAAATACAGGTCATTGAATCAACACTTGCTCTGATAGAGAATATAGAAGCTGAATACAAATTATTTCTTTTATTTATACTAATTTAAGTTATACTAATATAATAACCAATGCATTACCTTCATCATTTTAATTTTATCAGGTATAACTCATTGGTCATTTAATTTATGACGTAGCCCAGCTTCAGTGTGTTGACAGTCTGTCTCATAGACATAAATAATATCATGCCATTTTGCAAGTTTACTATCCAATATTAAATTTTTTGTTAAAAAATTGTTCCTGATGCATTTTATCAAGTGTGTAGAATCATAATGTTCAAATCCACCCCACATATTTTAAGAATGCCAACTGAAACAAAAATTTAAGAACTTCTTAAAACATAGATAACAATATAAAAATAAGAACCTTCACTACTTTCATTAAATCTATTAGTTTTCTTTCATATAAATATAATTCTCTGTACCAACCTGTGATTTCAATTTAAAATTTGATCACACTAAGTGTCTTCTTTTAGATTTTTGAGTGCTGATTGGAAAGCTGAGCCTTGGTCATATATTATTGCGATGGGATTAAGGTCCAATTCAACAACTTTTTCTACTACTAACTTTAAAATATTCTTGATGTACAGTAGATGTCGCTCCTTGACAGAAATACTAACATAAAGGCTGTTGCCACTTGTAAACAGCACCAACATAAATACAAGAGTATGATCTGCAAAATCCACTTTCTTTTCTTGGTGTTCTACAAATCCATTAATGTTATCTTTAATCCTTATTACTTTTATTATACGAAAGTGCTGTTTCTAATGACATCTCATCAAATATAATGGAGCATATTTTTTGGAGTTTCATTTGTCCACCTGAAAAAATAAATTCAAATAGGTAGGTACATATTATTATTTGGTAGTAATACAAAAAATTATAAAAGTAGTATGAAAAACCTTATATGGAATATATTTACCTCTTACATGAAGCCTGGTTCTATGATCGATTTTCTAATCATAGTATTCAGTGTAGTTTTGGATGATAAAATAAAAAATTTTGCTTAAAAATCAATAACACTTTGGACTCTGCTTTGATATTGATAAAGCAATTATCTTTTCTTCGGTAGTGAATCACCTCTCATGTTTATTTTTAGAGCACATGCTCACTTGCATTTCAAAAACATTTTTTGCAACTGTGTTCATTTTTTGTCGGAACTTTTCAAATGATAACTTTTTACAAAACTTAAAGGTATTTAAGTATTCTTAACTTTATTATGAAAGTTCAACTACGTCTTTGGCTTGTTATATTCTTCATAAATTCTCTGGTATAAAGGTGACAATTGGCTTTATTTGGTAATAAGCCTTTTCCTTTTTGTTTGGGTACATTTCACAGGGTCTGTAACATCAAAAGTATTCAGTGAATTTCTCTATTAGAACTACTATTTGATTGAAATAAAGATACACTAAAGAAAGAGACAGGTCTTACCAGATAATTTAGTTTGTGTCATATTTTAATCTCCAGAGCAAGCAACTAATTGAGTAAACTCAGTGGCTGCAGACACGGGAGTCTCAATTTGTTCTTTTAAAATTACACCACCTATGAAATCAATATTGATTATGTGTGTAAGATTAAAAAACAGGATATAATCTTAGATGATATTAGAAATATGTTATTTATATTATCAATTTATTCTCTGATCAAAATCACTTCTAGCGTGCCCGCTAGAATTAAGTAACTTAATGTCATTTTTCTTTATGTGTGTAAGAAAGAGAGATCTACTAGACTTTTTTAAAGCAAAAATCTATATTAAAATACACCAAAACTGCAGCATGAACTTTGTTATCTAAATAAAATAAATTAAAAACAAACCTCTGTTCAGTTCCACTTTCTAATATGTGTGGTCAACATGACTTTTTCTTGCATAGCTGTGTTCCCAAGTGAATATAATTTCTGTAATAAAAAAAATCTAATGAAGAATAGCGGTATTCCAAAACACAACATAAAGTGAAGATACATATCATTTTAATTACATTATCTAAAGGTAATAGCAGATTAAACCAGCCTTACCAGTATTGCTTGAAGAGGGTAGGCTGATTGAGAGCCCATCATCAATAAACAATGACGGATATGCATCACCCAAGAGTCATGATTTTGGAGTGATGAATCTTGGTACAACGTGTTTGCTACAAATGACACTTCTGCCTGGATTAAAATTTTCAGTACCACACACAGCACTAAGACATTGTAACCACTTGGAGAATCTTTTCTCGTTCACTAGAATCTTATAAAGAATAGCGTCCTGTTCGTACTTTAACAATGCGTGTAACACAACCATAACACAACACACCAATTTCTTAGGCATCTTCTACAAATAAAAATACTTCGAAAAATGGAGAGTTTATATTACAAATAAAGCGAAGACGGTAAGCACAAAAGAAACTTTACTCAATCACTTGTAATTCCCTGATATGTAGGTACATACTTTAGTCTTCTTCTTCTTTTATTAATGGCATATCTGCGCATTTCACACAATTTTGCCAATGTGAAATGAATAAATTAATTCCAACATGTAAAATGAATTAAAGATTGATTAAAACATTACTATCTTTACTCTTTGTTGTAATGACAGTTTCTGTCAGGTGTCATGTCTCCATCTACTGACAGGGGTGAGGGGCGTGAGGAAATGTCATACATCACTGGACCCCTACGCGATTGGTTTATTGTATGGCCCATCTGCGCTTTTCGCACAATTCCGCCAATTTCACGTGGATAGCCACTACACGATAGGGATTCTATACATAATTAATTTGGAAAAGAGATTCTAATATTTAAATAAATAATTATACACTTTCTATGTCGATAACGAACCTGAAACAAAACACATTTTATCGCATGCATCACGTTACACAACACAACACATATACAGGCATAACATTTTAGTAAGGGGGAAATAAGGAATGGTTCATTATAATTTTAACTTATTACTTAAGATAAATTTAATTAGTGTTTTTAAACAGGGTGTATTAACCAGTTGAAGCACATTTTTAATATTAATGGGGCGAGGAACTTCTTGTGGGAGTACATCATACAGGGAATACAAGAGTTTGGGGCAGTCAAATAGTGTGTGTTCTACAGATCCCTCATCTAGGCCGCACTCACAAAGGGGATTATCCTTAACATTAATTTTGGCCAAATGAACTGGTAAGCTTGCGTGTCCAATGCGGAGACGGCATAACACTGATACAACCTGTTTGGGAGTATGTTTCTGTTTTATGAACCAAGGTTTTGTTGGAATAGTTGGTTGGATGTCAAAGTAGTACTTTCCACTCTTATTTTTAGTGTTTGTCCAATGCGTCTCCCATGATTGCGATAGATGAGAATGAAGGAGGGGGATGAGATCGTTATATGTAAGTTCGGAATGACTAGTACAACCAGTGGAGATTGCATTCCTGGCACACGAATCAGCAGTTTCATTGCCGTGTATGCCACTGTGACCTGGGATCCAGCTCAGCATCAGTTCTATTTCTTTCACTTTACATCTAAGTAAAGCTTCTCTAATTTTGAGGATAATTGGGAAGCGAGATTTGGACCGCATGGGATTGGACGATATTGCCTGAAGGCAGCTAAGAGAATCGGATAGGATGATTGAGCGGTTTAAATTGTGTGATTCACAATATAAAATTGCCTCCAATATTGCGATTGCTTCACCCGTAAAGACTGATGAGGGTGGTGGTATTTTAAAATTCAGGACTATCTTATACTTGGGTATCCATACTGCCGCTCCAACACTCTCAGTATCTGAAATCTTGGATGCATCCGTAAATATTTGAAGCCAATGCGGCCAGTTTTTACACATTACCTCATTGAAGGATTTATTTGAACTGGGTGACTGTTTTTCAATACCCAGATTAAGTGAGATGGGCGGATCGAAAACTAAAGACTCGAAGCTGTTTAAAAACAAAGGGTTGCAAGGAAATTTTTCAATGGAAATGGATGGGCGGTGGAACTTATAATAACTAGTAACTATACAGGGTACTTTATGAGAAGAATTAGAATTTATATTTGATAAATGGGTCAG